TGTTTGTTTTTTTTTACTTTTAAGGTATGCATAGGTAAAATATTAACTAAGTTTCAAGTGTTGGAATGTAAGGACTGTTTAATGAAACAAGAAGGATGTTTCCTTTTATGATTTATTGTTATTTCTAAACATTGCCTAATTTGTCCGTAACAGAGTTGACAAACATGTCCGTAACAGAGTTGACAAACAATACCATAAAGACGTTTTTTTTTTTTTTTTCTTTAAAAGAAAAAAAAAAAAAAAAAAAAAAAAAAAAAATATATATATATATATAATCATCATTTACTCACCCTTATATTGTTCCAAACCCGTATGAATGTCTTTCTTTTGATAAACACAAAATAAGATATTATGAAGAATGTTGGTAACAAAAAAGTTGCTGGTAGCCATTGACTTTCATGGTATTTTCCGCCCTACTACTGAAGTCAATGGCTAACTATTTGTTTTATTTTAATTTTTGTGTGAACTACAGTTAGGGCCTTATATATTTGGACACTGACACAATTTTCATAATTTTGCCTCTGTATGCCACCAGAATAGAATTAAAATGAAGCAATCAAGATGGAATTGAACTGCAGACTTTCAGCTTTAATTCAAGGGGTTGAATATTTTATTTTTTATGAAAATATAACATAAAAAGCTTAGGGATTACAACCCATTTTCAGGGGCTCAAATGTAATTGGACAAATAAATATAATCATAAAATGTTCATGTTTAATATTCTGTTGAGAATTCTTTGCAGGCAATGACTGCCTTAAGTCTGGAACTCTTGGACATCACCAGAGACTGGGTTTCCTCCTTTGTGATGTTTTGACAGGCCTTTAGTGTAGCTGACTTCAGTGGTTGTGTAGGGATTTCTATCGCGAACAGGACACTGATATGCCACTGCACCAACTCATCATGAGGCTTCGAGCTAATCCAATCAGGAGATAACACAGAGATCTTTTGTATCAGGACTGAAAAGTTCTTAAACCACTTATAGATACCTCGTGAGGTCTTGTGACCACCAATGAATGAACTACTACATCCAACAGGAAGAGGACAAGACACGGACATTAACGTCTCGCTGGACGACCGTTGATAAGGTGTAAACTATTAAAATTTGAAATCAGTTCTAAACAGGTGGACTTAGAATTTTCAGATTCGAGTCCTTTCAAAACCTGAATGAATAAAATTAATAATAATTAATTCCCTTATAAGAATTAATGAGTTAAATTCCTTACAGTACAACAGTTGTTTGTGGGACTTTCTCTTTAGTTTCGTCTTCAGCAAGTGAAATGCATGCTAAATCGTCATTGAGATCGGGAGATTGACTTGGTCATTGCAGAATAATCCACTTTTTACCTTCAAAACTCCTGGGTTGCTTTTGCTGTATGTTTTGGGTCATTGTCCATTTGTATTATGAAGTGCCACCCAATTCTATTCACTTCAGAATTAATCCGGCTGTTTCTGTCTTCTGTCACATCATCACTAAACACCAGTAATCCAATGCCACTGGAAGCCATGCATGCTCATGCCATCACACTGCTCCACCATGTTTCACAGATGATGTTGTATGCTTTGGATCATGAGCTGTTCCAAGTTTTCTTCCTGTCATTCTGGTACAGGTTGATCTTAATTTCAGGCATTCAAATAATGCTTTTTCAGAAGTGGTCTAGCTTTTTTTAGATGTTTTTTTGGCAAAGTCTAATCTGGCCTTGTTTGCACCTTATGGTGGACCCTCTGTATTTGCTCCCGTGAAGTCTTCTCTTGATTTTAGACTTTGTGACACACCTACTTCCTGGAGAGTGTTCTTCTCTTGGCTGGATGTTGTGAAAGGGTTTTTCTTTTCATGGAGAGGATTCTCCGATCATCCACCACTGTTGTCCTACGTGGACATCCAGGCCTTTTTATGTTGCTGAGCTCACCAGTGTGTTCTTTTTTTTCTCAGAATTGTTGTATGCTTTGGATCATGAGCTGTTCCAAGTTTTCTTCCTGTCATTCTGGTACAGGTTGATCTTAATTTCAGGCATTCAAATAATGCTTTTTCAGAAGTGGTCTAGCTTTTTTTAGATGTTTTTTTGGCAAAGTCTAATCTGGCCTTGTTTGCACCTTATGGTGGACCCTCTGTATTTGCTCCCGTGAAGTCTTCTCTTGATTTTAGACTTTGTGACACACCTACTTCCTGGAGAGTGTTCTTCTCTTGGCTGGATGTTGTGAAAGGGTTTTTCTAGACCATGGAGAGGATTCTCTGATCATCCACCACTGTTGTCCTCCGTGGACGTCCAGGCCTTTTTATGTTGCTGAGCTCACCAGTGCATTCTTTTTTTCTCAAAATGTACCAAACTGTTGATTTGGCCACTCCTAATTTTCCTGCTATCTCTCTAATGGATTTGTTTTGATTTTGAAGCCCAACAATTGTCTGTTTCACTTGTATGGAGAGCTCCTTTGACCGCATGATGTGGGTTCACAGCAACAGCTTCCAAATGCAAATGGCACACTTAGAATCAACTCTAGACCTTTTACCTGCTTAATTGATGTAGAAATAACAAAGGAATAGCTCAAATGTGTCAATGAAATGGCATTTGAGTCAACTGTCCAATTACGTATGGTCCCTTGAAAAGGGGGGGAGGTACATATTAAAGAACGGTAATTCCTTAACCTTTCCTCCAACTGTGATGAGAATACCCTCAAATTAAACTCAGAGTGTGCAAGAATATATTTTGGTCAACAGCTAAAATAATAAAAATGTTGCTTGTATCCAAATAAATATGGACCTAACTGTATTTAAATGTGAGCTTGGTTATCACCAAAGCTCTATTCTGTAGTAGTTCATTAGACTGTCACTGGTTTCCCCCTTTTTTTTTTCTGATACAAGGGTGATACAAACTTCCGAACTGGCCTACAAGAAGTATTCATAACTCAAGTGCTCCAGGAAGTTTTTGCAGCCTCTTCTTCTACTTGGTTGTATGGAGCTCACTGCGCTGAGTTTATATAAACAAACAAATGACATTTGAATAAATATGACTTAAATTGTTTTCACAAAGCAATAAAATGTATTCAAAAGATGGGATCATGCACACAAATTATATGGACTGATTTTATAGCACCTTTATGTGCTCGCTGGAGCTTGACAGTAACCATTCTATCATCCTTGTATTTTATGAATGAAAATATAACATAGGTTTGGAGAGATGGTGAGTAAACAGGATTTTTATTTTATTTTGTGCCAACGGTTCCTTTCATATTGCTCCTACATAGCAGTATCACATTGTATGTATGTTTAGCAACACAGAATGTACACAAAAATAGAATAATGTACAATGTGCTTACTTTTTAGTTGCCAATTAAAGTTAGGTTTGCATTATTCATCAGAAAAAAAAAAAAAAATTTCTACCGTAATTTCCACCTTCTAAAATGTTAGGCTTGTAGGGTTTTGTTTAATTTCTATCAGCAACATAACAAAGAGAGCGAG